TTGATTTTCCTATGTTCTGCTCGAGTAAGAATGATCCTCAAAAGAATTTTGTTATGTCTATCAAGCATGATACAGCAATATTTCATCATCATTCAATGCCTATAAAAATAGGTAAATTAGTATTGTGTAGCGTTCTCACGCAATTCTGGCCTTAACTACCCGTTTCATGATTTTTCAGGATGCCTTAATGACCAATTTTTTTTTTTTTTTAATTTTTTGTCGTTGAGGTACAGCTTGCACCACGCTGATGAGGGCCAACAGCCCGAAACGCGTCCGTGGTTAGCTTTTCTTGATTAATCAAGAATGGGTATTTGGCCAATTCTGGAATAATTAAAAATCAACGAGAATAGTTGATATTTATTCCGATAGATGGCGCAAGCCATTAGCAACTTTCAGTTGCACGATAAGGAGATGCCTTTTTCTTAATAGTCTAGTACTTGGTTAATTTGAATTTTCCTAGGATGAAATATCCCTGGGATGAAAATTTCCTGGGATGCATTATCAACAAACATATGTAGTAATAATCTGGCTTTATGAAAAACAAATTAATAAAGTTAGTCTGATATTTGACCATTTTAAAATTATAGGGACGAAATCATATCCAAGATCTCTCATGTTTCTTTCACAAAATAATGTAAATTAGGTTTTGGTTTAATTTGATTAGGCTTTTAATAGCCTATATTTTAAGCTGCAACTTCATCTATACACCTACTTGTTAAACTCTAAATTGTTTATTAGAAGTTTTAATGTGAGAGAGGGAAGCACATCATCAACGTATCATTGGGGCATCATAGTGCCCTGAATACGAACTGAAAGTGACATGGTATCATATGTGATTGCGCCCCAAACCATGATTCTGCGTTGTCACGCGGTGGGGCGTTCTACAAATGCTGCTAGATTGGACCTTTCTCCACGTCGACACCATACGTGTACACGGCGACTATCACTGGACAAACAGAAGCGTGACTCATCTGAGAACACGACCCTGTGCCATTCCGTCATCCACGTCGATCTAGCCCGGCAACATTCCAATCGTTGGCGTCTATTCAGTGGGGTCAATGGCAGTCTTCTTACCGGACGACATGAGTACAAGCCATTAGCAACCAATCGACGGAAAATGGTTCTGGTTGAGATGGAATGATCTAGGGTGTCTTGCATATTTTGCAGAATGGAGGTACAAGTGGCATGTGGGTCCGCCACTACTTGTCAAAGGATACGCCGATCCACATGTGCTGACGTCACTCAGGCTGCACAGGCATTCCTATAAATTGCCTCATTTCTTTTTAATAATATTAATATGTATCAATGTCTTAGCATTTCGGTGAGGTGACCCTGGGCAGGACATGTGAAGTATGTCTTGTACTCCTGGTACCCTGAAGTCTGTCCTACTAAGCCCAGCTAAATGTTAACAGACAAAGTCCTACCTTTATGTGATTGTTAAGAATTATGTTAAAAAGACTAGAGGCGACAACCACTCATTGTCCGGTTGAAAGAATTTATTTCACCATCAAATAGTTCTCTTTTATACAGCGAGGAGTTTTACATATTGAAAGATCGCCATGGATTTGCATAGCGTTGAAAGATAAAATGATATTTACATGAAAATAGTTACAACATATCAAATAGACAAAATTCATAGTATATGATAATACATCACATATCACAACACGTTTCCCCTTCCTCAAAACCCAAGCCTTTGTGGTTTCTTCAGCTCTCTACCGAACCTAGAGAACCGGGGCATTACAGATGAGTTCTCAGAGGGCACAGCCATCCCATCACTTGGTTGTCGTTGTATTGGAGTTGTAGATGGTCCTGCGACTGGCTCCTCTTCAGTAGTTCTCTGCCAACTGCTGGAGTCTGCCGCTACTGGAGACGATTCACCTGAGAACGAGGTCCCCAAGGAGGGCGATTCCCCTTTTCCGGATGGTCCATTTTTTGGTCTTAGAAATTGTTTATTTCTGAGGAATTCCCTTCCAGATGGTGTTTCGACTTTGAAACTTTGAGGCGAATTCCCGTGAGCTGTAATCTTCACTGGTGTCCATGCCTGTTTTGGAGACAGTTGGCACCAGGCCTCCTCTCCCACGCTGACTTAAGGGTAGACTTTACTGCTTCTGTCGTAATACCTTTTCATCGAATTTTGTCTTCTTTTCTTTGCATTCTCTATATGTCTTTGATTGGTTTTGCACGGGCCATATAGCGGGGTGATGCTTGGGATGAGGCAGCGGAGACTTCTAGACAAACATAGTTGTGCCGGGGACGGTAGGTCATTCTTTGGAGTATTTCTGTAGGTCAACAGGGCCAGATATGCGTCGGATCCTTGATCTTTACATTTGTTCAATAAAGTCTTTATTGTTTGGATATTCCTTTCTGCCAGTCCATTGGATCTATGAAGGTGTGGATTTGAGAAAATTTGCCTGATGCCCCATTTTGTACAAAAGTCAGTCATTATCTCTGAGTGGAACGGGGGTCCATTGTCGGACATAATAGTTTCCGGGATTCCAAATCGTGCAAATGTCTCTCTTAATTTGTTTCTGACATTGGTCGCAGTAGGCGGGTTTAATGCATAAACCTCCGGATAACCACTAAATCTGTCCACAATTAATAAATGAGGCTTTCTTTCAATATAAAATATGTCCATAGAGACTGTCTGCCAAGGATAATCCGGAATTGGAAATGATCTTAACGTCTCCCGTGTTTTAGATTTCTGGTATTTTTGACAAATGTCACAACTTTTAACTCTCTCAGCTATGTCCATGGACATTCCTGGCCAGAAAAGAGATTCACGTGCCAAACCCTGAATTGCTGATATCCCTTGATGAGATTTATGTAATAATTCGAGCATGTAGTTTATTTGTGTTCCAGGGACCACTATTGCCGATCCGACACATAATAACTCATTCCATAGGTAAATACGGTGTCTAAAATCATAATAGGGTTTTACATCTTCATCTACATCTTTTTTGCTTATTGGCCACCATTCAATAACGTAGTGGATTATTTTTAACAGCGTTGTATCTTCTCGGGTATCCTTCTGTAGAGTAATCAGTTTTTCGTCCGAGATATTGGCAGATATTAATTTGACCATTCTTTTGTCCTCGAGAAAGGGAGTTAGGAGTTCGTCTATGGGATGAGTATCCCTGGATAGGGTATCTGCGAGAATTAAACATTTTCCAGGCCGATATTGCAATTTAAAATCAAAAACAAAGAGTTTCATAACTATTCTCTGCAGTCGAGGCGATATATCAGTTAACGGTTTTTGGATAAGTGGTAATAAAGGCTGATGATCCGTCTGGATTATGAACGTGTGTCCTAATAATAAATATTCGAACTTTTTGCATCCATAATAAATGCTCAATAATTCTTTTTCAATCTGTGAGTACTGTTTCTGAGAATCGTTGAATGATGCGGATGCAAACGCCAGCGGTCGATTCTCTTGCAGCAGAGCAGCTCCCATAGCATCCTTGCTGGCATCACATTGTAGAACTAACGTCTTAGTTTTGTCGTAATGGCCCAACGAAGGAGCGTTTCGAACGCATTCCTTAATGTGATGGAATTCGATGTCTTGTCTAGGGCCCCAGTGCCAGACCACATTCTTTTTTAATATTCCTCTTATGTTGGACGTTGACGCGGCTAGATTCGGAATAAATTTTCCTAAATAGTTGTAAAGACCCATGACTCTCTGAAGCGACTTTTTATCTTCTGGCTTTTTGAGGTTGATCACTTTGTCGACCTTATTTGGCTCTGGATCAATTCCATTTTTCGAAATCATGTGGCCCAAAAAACTAACCTCCTTTTTGCATATTTGAGCCTTAGTCAAGTCGAATTTGATATTGTTTCTCCTTGCTATTTCTAGTATACCTTTCAATTTTTCATTATGTTCTTCAAAGCTATCTGCGTATATCAGCAAGTCATCTACATATGTGACGTTACGAAAACTGTTCTTAAAAATATTTGTCATCATTTCCACGAATATTTGCGCCGATATATTCAAACCAAATGGTAATCGGTTATATCTGAACTTTCCGAATGGTGTAGCCATCACCAACAGATCTCTGCATTCGTTGGCAACCGGAACATACCAATAGGCCGATTTTACATCTAACACGGTATAATAATCAGCCTTGGGAATCTGATGTAATAATTCAGATGGAGCCGGAGTCTGGAAGTGTCTTCTCACCAGGGCCTGATTCAATTTGCGTGGATCCAAACATATTCTAATTTGGCCCGATTTTTTCTTCACTACGACCATAGGGTGAGACCACTCTGTTTCATGATAAATCTTCGTAATTATTCCTTGTTTTACCATCTTTTCCAATTCAGACAACTTCATTTCCTAGGCTTGCCGGGATGCGTCTTGGAAGGGCACGTACAGGCGGATACTCAGGTTTTGTATACATTTAACATTCAGAGTTTATCACTCCAACTCCTTGAAACACCTCATGAAATTGTTCGAGTATTTTTTTCGTTTGATCATGTAAAATCATTTCATGCGAGTTTATTTGATTGATTCGTTTCAAAATCTCAAGCTTCTCGCAAGTGTCGCCTGTGATGAGTGTCTGCGCATCGACATCAGCAATAATAAATTCACACAAGCTTTTCT